CCCCCCCCCCCCCCCCCCCCGCCTTTTTTCCACCTAAAGCGTTTAGTTGCAGCTGACTGAGCACTTGCTGGGAGTGCAAAGGGAGCGGAAGGGTCGAATTATTTCAACCTACAAGTCGCCCCAAAAGTACTGTAGGACGAAAGGAGGAGGAGGAGGGAGGGAGAGAGAGAGAGAGAGAGAGAGAGAGAGAGAGAGGAAGAAAGGGAAAGAGGGAAAGGTTTTTGTTCTTTTGCTTTTTTTTTCTTTCTCCTCCATCCCCTGCCCCCCTTTTCTAACGGGCCAACATGGACCCGGGGCCCCGGAGTCCCGCGCCGCGGCTGGGGAGAGCAGGTAAGAGTCTCCTCTCATCACTTGTTCACTTTGAACTTCTCTCACTCTCTTTCTTCTTCTAACAAAACTTTAAATGTGCACAAAGTTTGTTGTTTAGACGGAACACTATTTTCGTGGCGTTTGGAGCTGATTTCGTGTCCAAACAACTTCTGGGGGGAGTTTAAACAAATGTTTCCAGAAGTTTTCAAACCTGCTGCTTCGATGGTTGTGGACTTTTATGTGAAGCTTTGCGCTGAAGAATAAAAGTTTTCCAGGCAGTTTTCTTTGAAAAGTTGATTTCATTCTGAATAGTTTTATTACAAGTGTCACAGATTTGAATTTTATTTTATTGTTGCTGTTTAAACAGAACTCGTGTTTTGTAAACTTGTTGTTGAGACAGAAAGTGGCTGAAGTTGCGGGTTTGAACCTCCTGATGAAAATATCACGAGTCTCCTCGTTTGTGACCAGAGGTTGATGGTTCCAGGACCCAACAGGTTTCAAGGCCTACCGTCCTAAAAGCAGCGGGGTGTGAGTCCAACATGGACCTGGTCATGGCACCAGTCCTCCCATCATTTCATATTGCTGCCTGCTGCGTCTTCATTGATGACACGTCGTTTGTCATTAGCAGCTGCAGCAGCCTCTTTAGTTTGTGAAAGGTTTCCCCTCCAAAGAAGAAAACATGTCTTCACCGTCCTCATGTTTGTTTGGCACATTTCGATCAAACTTTGGTTGAAGCGAATGTGTCATCAAAGAAAAAAGCGGCTTCCATTTTTGCTTTTATTAATTTTTATTGCATTTATTTCCTTATTTACTGTAAAGTGGACCATACTCCTGATAAACGCAGAAAGCTGAGAGATTTTCTTCTTTCTTGTTATTGGATGATCATCTTTTTACCCGCAGAGGAACTCAGAATTGAGAGGAGGCCCTCCTCAGTCCTGAGGGCCCAGGGCCTCTGCGCACCTACAGCCTCTCCATCTCCTCTCACTTTGATACGTGCACGGGGTACAAAAGCGAATCGGCAGAGGAGTGAGCGTGGATCCAGCAGGACACCCCTTCCCCCACACCTCCCCCTCTGCTCCCTCCCAGCATGTGGGATGGATGTGCGTAAAAAGCGCGCTCGGCTTATTCATTGTTTTTATTTTAAATCACCGCAGAATAATTACAGACAATAAACATCATTAGGTCACAGTCGAGCCATTTCTTTTTTCAGATAAAATCTGAAACTTAAAACTTAAAATCTTTTCTCTGCGTATAGACCAAACTTGACCAGTCCAGCTTCACTAAGTATATATATATATATATATATATATATATATATATATATATATATATATATATATATATATATATCATACACTGTCTTTTTATTCTCTGCTTTTAGAGGTTGTTACAGTAAAAAAGAAGTCCACTCTGCAACAGTAAATATGGCGTCATGTCTGTGCGCATCGCAAGGGAGAGGAGAGAAGAAATGTGGAGTTTTGGAGGGATAAAGATGATGTTCTTATGTTTTGACCTCAGATGCTCCATCTTGTAACCCCCGGGGTAGTGGGGGTGATACAATGACCCCCGCGCTCATGACAGGTGACAGACGGGCTCTGAGCACGAGCCAAATGGAGACAAACGTGGCTCGCTTTTCACTCCACGCATACAGTATTTTTATTTATTAGTTATAACTTTTTCATATATTTCACAAATAAAATGCAAAACTTAGAGATAGGGGAGAGTTTCTCATTATGTTTACAGTCAGCGGGCGTGTAATAAACGAGCTGGTGGAGTTAACATGCGCTATTAATTTTTCATTGCTTTTTCCTTTCGTGGCTGATGCTTTTATGGTGGATGGAGGGAAGAGGAAGGAGGACAAGAAAGAGAGAGAGAAAGAAGGTATTTTAACAACAACACTGCGTTCAATTTGCACCTGATTATCACAACTCCACATCCTCACTAATGTCTATAAAAGAAGCTCTTCCTCCCCGTTTCCCAGCTCTGCAGAGGTAATGAAATATGGTAATGGATTTGGATTAAAATCGTCCTACCCTGATGGAAGTTTTGCTTCCAAATTTCCAACCCTAAAGCAACAACAATTTGTATACATGATTGATTGTGTTTGGGTTTTTTTTTTTTTTTATTGCTTGCATATTTAATTTCAATTGCAACGTGAGAGAGTCTGAGCAAATAACAAAAACACTCTCTGGATGGGATGGAGACGGAAACAAAACACGTTTTTGAACATTTCATTTAAATAATTCATGAAACTAAAACATAAAATGCACCATATGGTTAATAGTGCAACTTAGCCAAAAAAAAAAAAAAAAAAAAAAAAGTTTAATTTTTAAATCGGTTCCCTTCAGGTTTTGCTGCTTTAGGTGGTTTTGGTCAATCGTGGCCTTCAGGCCTATAAATATGAAGCTTCACTTTTTAAATTAAATCTGTTGTATTTATTCTTAAAATGCAAAACTTCGTTTATTTTTCACACCTTTGGCTTCAGTTTGAGACCACGTGCAAACCTTATGTTCATTTTTATTTTTTTAGGTGGTTAAATACAAAAAAAAACCGAGCTTTAAATGACAATTCAACCCGCATTTAGAGTTTAGACGACTAATGACGTAATGTTTATAATTTATTGAGCATCAACATGTTTCCAGTGTCTAACTCTCCAGGTAAATTGATGACTGCATGACTCCAAACGCATTAAACTCATGTTTATAATGCTCCAGCGTGTCTTCAGTTTGCACATGTGCGTCTTTGCTCACGTGCGTGCGCATCGGAGGTGCTCGCTGTCCGTCAATACGCCCCCTAGTGGTTGTTCAAGACCCATCTTCAAGAAAACTAGAGAAAAATCTAAACCTTTATTCTAATTTATGAAATAGTTTTGGTTTATAGGTGATTCTGGATAAAAGACAGTTATAGCTGTGAGTTCCTGCAGCACTTCCTGTCATCAGAACCCCTGGTTCCGCGGGGTGTTCTGTTCTGTGAGCTTCTTTGACACAATGAAAGTCAAAATGAACAAACTGAAATAATACATTAATAAATGTCCACATTGGAGATGGAAACATTTAACAGTGACACAAATACTATATTTTTATTTCATTTATCATCAGAGAGTCTTCGGCTTTTGGAGGGAAAAAGGATAAATTAGGATTTGCCTCTTTAAACCCAAACCTGCAGGTAAATAAATTGTCAATAATAAGAGCCATAAATTACAACTGCACCCCTACAAGGATTAAATATAAAAACATATTTATATTAAAGGAGTTCTGATTTTCCTTCAGGCTGTCTGTGAACCTCACATTATAGAGGAAAAGCTTTTTGACAAATTAAGTGCGTGTTTGCTGCATTGACACCCCCCACCCCCCAACCCCTTATTTATTTATTTATTTTTTTAGTTTGCAGTTGCATTTCATTAAAAACATCCGCAATCAATCAGATAATGAGAGAACGCATGTTTCATGTGTTTCCCCCTCAAGGTAAAGCTTTATGACTCCGGAGGAAGGAAATCAAAAAGAAATGATTTGACAAACAAAACACTTGGACGCTTTTTCAAAATAAAACCGAGTAAATATATTCAATCTGAAGGGGGTTATCTTTAAAATGTGACATTTTTTTCAAAGTGTACCATAGTCCCCTCCTTTGTGTTTTCTTCTTCCTCCACAGAAACGTGAACCAACGCTGTTTGACTTCTTTCCTTCATTTCTTTACGGCCTCGCTGCAGCTGAGCCTCATTTTTAATAAAACTCCCTTAATTAGTCATTTAATATTGACATGAATAAATTTGGAGCAAATGTTATAAAGGCATTAGCTTCTTCTTTTCATATTTATTTTTTAAATAATTCGTTAATTGAAAAAAAAAAAATAAAAAAAAAACGTCATTGTTTACTGTTTAAGCGCAGCGTCGCCTCATGCGGCTTCCTGATTGGTGGACGTGTCGAGCGCGCGGTGCGCCATTGGCTCCACGGGTTTGGCTCGGCCAATCAACGACCCCACCCTCCTGCCTGATCGTACCTGTGGTTGGTGGTGACGTCACGACAGGAGTCGCCCGCTGATTGGTTAGGCTCTGAGTGAGTGACGGGCAGCGTGTGGGTTAGGGTTCCAGCGGGCTGGGAGCGCGGGCGCTGTCCGCACGAGAGCAGGTCCTGAAACGCGCCGTGCGCCACCGGGAAGGCTGCAGGGGCGCAGCTCGCTCCTAACGAGCCCGTTTCTGCGCGCGCGTTTACCGCCAACAACTGCGTGTGTTCGGGACTTTTCTGGACTGCGCGTGGAGAAAAGGAGAGCTATTTGGACTTGACTGCTTCATTTTATTTTATTTTTTAAATTAAACTCGTCTCCAAACTCGCTCACCGAGCGGGAGTCTGAGTCCTGCAGCTGCGTCTGTCCACACAGAGACAGGCTGTCCACACAGAGACAGGCTGTCCACA